ATTTTTGAGAATCAATGGATAAGATGACACCATTATTGAAATTTCACATTTACCTCGGAGGCACTTTCTTTCGTGCAAGCTTGACTCGAACATTCCAACGCGTTCAAAGCCAACGTAATATAATTCTGCGCATCTACCAACTAAGATTTGAAGGAAGGATGAGGTGAACATGATGAAATTAGAAGAAGCAAATATTGGATTACCTGTTCGATGAAATAAGGATTCTTGGAGTGGATTGTTAACTTGACCAAATTGCCCCGATTATAATTTGGGAATTTCACTTGTAATTCCTACAAGGTTATGAGAGAAAGAAAGATGATTATTGTGTGATATTCGCATTAAAACCGATGGAGGACCTACCCCTTTTATGATATCGCTACCATCCAATGTAACGTAACCCTTCAACGAATCGTTGCTACAGAGTTCAAATATGATCAGGACGTCTGGGAAGGGTCGTGACAGAATGATTTCTCATCATACGACTGCCTTACTTGTTGGAAGATATCGCCAGTGTACTTGTTCCCAAGGAATCTGCATTGGAAAAGAAATCGATGGGGATTACTTGAATGATGACAAGCATAAACTGCGAGCATAACACTTCATGTGAGTACCATCGTGCTCTGGGGATTTCATGATTGCTTCGCATTTCTATAATAGTTCAAAAGCGAAAATTTTTTATCATGTTCGTGAGCAAGAAGCATCGATAAATGTCATGTCCGAACCTTCAAACCTTTCTTCAAATCATAAAGCGCGTGCGGAAGTTGAGAAACCAACAACCACTCCAATTCTCTTGCCTACATCCACCGGAAGTGTGAAACGTGAGAAATCGATGCAATAAAATCTCGAGAAGAAGAAACTTAAAAAGATCACCATGGCATCTTCTTCTTTTTGGAAACTCTTGTGTTTTTCGTCCTTGGCATAAGTCATGGTGAAATTTGGGTAGGAAAAAGATCGAATGTAACGAAGTGATGTACGCAATCGGCAACTTCCTTAATTAACCATATATGGTATGATGTTATGTAATACGTATTGTACCATGATAATTAATTCATATCGTCATATCATAATAATTCCGGTTACAGAGTTTTTTTATAGGGAAACACCAATATCGATTTTTTTTTAAAAAAAACGTCACATATTTTACCGAATTTGTTTTTTTTTTTTTTTGCGCGGTGGAATAATGTTAAGATGATAGAACGGAATGGGGGTTTAGGTAGAGATATGCGAGGTATACAAAGTGTCCTTTATTGATTTTTGGAAATAAAAATAGAACCCAACCAATAATACCTTAAATAAGGGAGTTACAATATTATAATACATAATGTGTGGCTTTTTTCGCTTATATCTATTATGCTAAATTTTTTTTTTCTTGACCGATAAGATTATTTTACAAATGCTCATACATAACAAAAATAAAATAATATAAAATAATATAAATAAATAAATAAATGTGACGGCAATCTAAATATCATTTTCATCTTGCTGACTTTTCAATTGCTCCAGCTCTTCTTCGAGCTGTCTCAACTTTATAGCCTGCCAAACATTTTCCCCACCCTTACCACACTCTAAATTAATATTCAATAATTCTTTTATACCCTCTTGCATCATTAATCTCAATATCCTCCCTTCATCCTGCACATTTTCCAACAATTTCTCCATATCCTTGAGCTTATCCTCCACTTGCACCACTTCCTTGTGCTTTGTGTTCAATTCAACCTTCAATTCCGCGATCTCGGCCTCATACTTGTTTTTCTCGTTTCTTAATTTTCTTAATATTTTTTCCAACCTGTCGGATCTCTCGTTGGTGACATTAATTGAATTATTAATTTGGTTAAATATTATGTAGTACTTTTCGAGGGATTCTGTTAGTTGGGAAATTTGTACTCTCGACTCTTCCTTGTGCATCTTCAATTCTGAATCCATCTTCGCCAGTTGATGATTGCTTTCCTTCAGTTGGGCCTCAGAATTCACCACGCGTGTCCTTAATTTCTCCAATTCCGGGAAAACATGTTCTCGTGACCGATTAGACATTTCGGTCCGCACGTTCTCCGAATTTTCTCGTTCATGGTATGATTGTGCCTTGACTCTTTCTCTTTCGGTTTTTTTGTAATACTTGAGTAGTTGATTCGATAGTAATTTGTTCTCTTTGAGAACTTGGGCCAACTGTGATTCCAGTTTCGCGACTCTCCCGGATTCTTGAGAATTGATTTCCGGTTCCGAAGGCTTGAGTTCTTCGAGTTTGATTTTGTAAAGGGCAGCCTCTTCGAGCGCGGCAGTTTTCTCCTTTTCAGCGAGCGTTACCCTTTCCGACGCGGTTTGTGCTTGTGATTCAATGATTTCCTGAAAATGAAGGAGAATTAAAACACGATACATTCAACGTGGTACACCAATACGTTAGATTTATTCTAACCTTAGCTTTTGCCAACTCCTGTTTCATCTTGATAATCGATTGCATTACTCTATATTTTTCGCTTCCCGGTTCTCCAAAATTGGTCTTCATCACTTCAAAATCAACATCGTCGCTATAATTTAGATCGGTTAGGTAGCCCAACTTTCTGGCAAAATCTAATTCGGCATTGTACCATATCTCTCGTCGTTTATACTCTTCAATGTCGGGTTCCTGTTCTAATTCTGGCACACGGTCATCCTTCTCCTCGACTCCAGAACTTTCCACATTTAATTCAGGAGAACCCCTGGTAGATTCTGGAAACGACATGAAGCTCTCTTTATCAGGTGTCGACACTGCTGGAACCATAGGGGATTGCATTGTAAGCCTGTTCATCAACGATGATATGTCATAGTCATGTTCACCTTTTTTGGACAATGAATAATTGTCAAGGCTGTTGGGAAGGGATAAATGTTTGGCTTTGCTAACATCGGACCGATCTAACGCAGGCGAATTTGCTATATGTGCTGTGATATGCGTTTTATTCTCCGGAGGTCTGTTGGTGCCACGATGAAGTTGTAATGGTGAACTTCGATGGTCACTATTGGGTTCTTCATCAATCTCCTCGCTATTATTGTCCTGAACAGGCACATCTACATGATCAACTTCCACTGAATTTGATTGCATATTCAAATCCTCAACACGAACCCCCATGTCGTCTTCAGGCACCTCATTCCCTTGATCTTCCTCTTCCTCTTCCTCTTTTTGAGAATATTCATCTTCCGAATTTGCATGTTCTGAACCTTCAGAGTTCTCATGCTCAGAATTTTCTTCCGAATTGTCGTACACTGAATCCGAATCATATTCGGTGTTGCATTGCTCTGAATCTTCTTCTACATCTTCATTTATCGTGTCTAATCGAGTTTTCCTATCTCTCGGCATAATTTCCAACTCCGAGAAATCGGCACTAACAGATTCCACTTCTGGCGGATACGGTATTACCACAGGGTCGTTTATTTGTAATCCTGATGTTGGCATATTACTCTCGTTCACGAAAGATAAATCTTGATGATTACCCGTAGAAACCTCCACATCTTGTAATTCAAAGGACGGTGATTGATTTTCCACGTCTTGCTCGACCATATTCTTTCCTTCATCATCTTGGTCGGAATCTATCGGCGGATCTCGATGAAGGTTCTGATCTGTGGGCATATGTTTGTTGAAGTCACCAATTGGTGGCACCACAATTACAAGATTGGGTTTCGTCTTGACACGAAATTCAGGAGTTGGTTGTGCATGCGAGGTTGTAGGCTGTTCGCTACTATCTTCCGATTCTTGTGGTGCCACTACTAAAATTTTAGGTACCGTGGAAGATTCATTTTCTGACCTCGACGAATCCATCGACCGTCTCTGCGAATAAGAGTCTCGTCGTGTCAGCATTGGCATACCGGGCAGAGTGCCAGGCGGGAATTTAATTTTTGCTTGATAAATGGACGAAGAAGAAATAGGTTACAAAATGAAGCATATAAAAATTCACGAGCCTATTTAAAGAAACCTTAATAGTTACATGTATCCAATACATGAATGTCTCCTTCTGAATCAGGCTTTGGTAATTTCTTGGAATCTCCGCCGAATATAAAAATTTTTTCATCCACCACAGACATAGACAATCCATATCTGGCACTAGGAGATGGGCCCATTTGCGGAAACCTGTACCATCTTTGATCTAACATTAAGTTAATATATTGCGATAATTTTGGTTGGATTATAAATTGCAAGTGAAATTTACATACTGGTGATCCTAAATGCTACCAAATCATCCAACTCTTCACCCTCCTGGGTTATCCCGCCAAAAATGTATATAACTTCATCAACAATTACGGCCGAATGCCTCTCCCTCGGGACAGGAAAATATCCGATGCATGACAAATTTGTCCAAGTCCTTGTCCCTTCATCGTAGCACCATGTGTCATTGTAACATACGCGACCATCGGTTCCGCCGAAACTACAAGCATTTTTTTTTTTTAGAAATTCAGACATCATACATTTGAAATGAGTTTTTCAATACAACTCTGACACTTACATGTATATTTTATTTTCATAAGAACATGCAGTGTGCCCACTTCGAGCCGGTGGTCCTTCATTTATGGCATCGACAACATTCCAACAAAGTCCCGCGGAGTTTTCTAGGTAGAATAATCAACGGCTGTCAACTCCAATCCTAATGATAATGATAATTCCAACGAAAGATCGAGCATCGAGAAAAGAGAATCACTGACCTCGATTTCGTCCCAGAGAAAATTTACCGAATTTGCCCTTCTTTTTTTGCAACTTTAGAGCCTTCAGATCAAGGCTAACAAAATCATTAGAATACGATCCAAACTTTTGTCCTCCAAACATATAAATAACCGATCCGATAATTGTGGCAGTATGTCCAATCAGGCCGTTAGGAGGATTACCGTTTGCAACATGTTTACTCCAAGTTCTAGAAGCTGTGTAGAAAAAATTTTTTAACTTTCACTTAAACACGTGATCCAAGTAATTTGAGATCCGAGTTTACCTGTGTCAAGAATATAAATGCCGTCGTCTAATTTTCCTTCGACCTTTTCGGGTGCACCGCCAAAAACTAAGAAATAAACAGCCTTATTGTTAGTCATAAAAAGAAGCAATTATTGTGTTAGTCATAAAAAGAAGTAATTACGAAATGAGCGACAAACTTACCGACTATGTTATTTTCGTAAATTAATTGTGAATGGCGGCACCTTTTAGTTGGAATATCTCCCGAAGTTGACACATGCATAACGCTCAGTGTATCTAAATTCACATTATTAAAAATAATTGGCAAGATTAACCGAAATTAAATTTCATTTATCCCCTATCCCTGATACCTACTGACTTCAATGGCGTATAAATCGTTGGTGGTTACCCCCTGGGTCAATCCTCCAAAAATAAACAGCTCTTTGTGAATAGCATGATCGCTCGAAGAGAGGCCGTACCGAGGAAAAGGATTAAGCGAATTCAATTTCTTCTGGCACCAAGGATACGATCGATTGGCGGGCTTTGATTTTGATATCGTTGTGGTCATGATTGATAATTCTCGGAAAGTTCATACAATCGTAAAGAAGAGTATCAAAAAGAGAATTATAAAGGAAAAGAAAAAGAAGCTAAGGAACGTCGATGCTGCAGAAATACGTTATACAATCTTTTTCTTAAGAATCTATGGTAAATACCATCGACCCAGCGTTGGTAAGTCGGAATGAACTAGTGATAAAATGGTACAAAGAATGAATACGAAGACATTTTATATTTCTGCGTTTCCTAAAGAACTCTAGTTGTTTGGACACAACATGCACTCCGAGTGTACCAATCACACATTCGGTGCGACTTCCTTGAAACATAAATCTCTTTTGTGCTAGATTTGGTCACGTCTCTGTATATCATCGAATGCCTGGAATGCCTGGAATTTAAATAAAATATATTGTTTGTGCGTACCTTTGCCATGGCGAAGGAATCGTCACGTGATAGGATTATGGCGTTGCTTCATCTCCCTATTTGACAACAGCCCAACAATAGATGAGACGTTACTTGACTTATGTAATAGCGCTTTTCAATTCGAATTGGTAAATAATCCATGCCGTATTTGCTATTATAATTGAAAAAAATATATATACTGTACGATGAAGTGATTTTCACCAATAAAGACAAAAAAGGACCGTAGATACCGAAAAGATTTATATCTTTGAGGCTCTGTCTAGTTTTATTTCTATGAAAAATTTTCAATTTGTTTATATTTTGACTTCATTGTTTTAATTGTGATTCGTGTTTATATAGTCCAAAAAAAAAAAGTACATTATCACTTAATAAATTACTATTTTAACGAACCATTTCAAGTACAACCTAAACCGCAAAATTGTATCATGATCAAAAATTCAAGGAACTTATCGAAGTTTAATTAGCATTCGTTTATCTGCAAATAAAATTTTTATAAAACAACAAATAATATCTTACGAAAGCATTTAAATCGATACAAAATATTAATTTGTTTAATAATTTTCTTTTTTAAAAAAAAATTTCTTTTTCGGTAATTTTCCTGAAAAAGTAAACCAGTTCAAAAAACAAACTTCAATATTCAAGAGATTTAATAATTCTTTCAAATTATGCTAAAAAAGTAAAGTATTACTTCTATGTTAACTTTTTATGCTCTTCATTTTTATGTTTTTAAAATCTTAGAAAAGGAAAGAAAAAACTTATTGATTGATAGTTAGAAAAGATCAGTACTGATTATATAGTATCTTTCTTGATACTATAAAAAATGTTAAATTTAATGGACTTACTTAATAAATCAAGTTATTTCAAAGTTATCAAAGTTGAAAGAAACATTAAAAATTTAATGATTTAATATATATATAATTAAAATAACAATTTGTTTCATCAAACAAGTGATATAAACATATATAGTATATAGTATATCTATTATATCCATTTTAATATATTAAGTTCAAAGATCTATAAGTTTGTTAGCTATTGCATATAAAGTATAAAAAATATTTATATTACTTTAAGTTATATAATACATTAAGAGTCTAATTTAGTTTCAAATATATTATTTTTTTGATTATAACTAGTATTACTTTGATTGTTACTATTTAGAAATGTATTAATTGTTGAAATTATTTAAAATTAGAAATATAATAATATTCATATTTTTAATTATATTATAATTTATTTTAATTGTTAAGAAATGTAATTATTACTATATTTCTCACTAGTCGAAAAAAAATTATTCGGCATACTGCCACTCGTGTAACATTCAGCAAAAAATACTACCACTCGTGTAATATTCGGCAAAAAATAAACAATTCGACAAAAAAAAATGACATAAATAAATCGGCAACTACAAAAATTGTCAGTCAAAACTATTCATTAAAAATTCATCAAAAA